CTGGTCTGGGAAGATCCCACATGCCACAGAGCAACTAAGCCCATGAGCCACAACTCCTGAGCCCGCGTGCTGCAACTGCTGAAGCCCACGCGCGTAGAGCCCGTGCTCCACAACAAGAGAAGCCACCGCAATGAGAAGCCCGTGCACTGCAACGAAGAGTAGCCCCTGCTCGCCGCAACTAGAGAAAGCCCGCGTATAGCAACAAAGACCCAACGCAGCCAAAAAAAAAAAAAAAAAAAAAGTGCAAGGACTTGAATAGACATTTCTCCAAAGAAGATATACAAATGGACAGTAAGCACATGAAAACATGATTAACATCACTAATCATTAGGAAAATGCAAATCAAAACCGCAGTGAGATACCACTTAACACCCACTAGGATGGCTACTATCAAAAAACAGAAAATAGCAAGTGTTGGTGAGGATATGGAGAAATTGGAACCCTTGTGCACTGCTGGTGGGAATGTAAAATGATGCTGCCACTATGGAAAACAGCATGGCAGTTCCTCAAAAAACTAAAAATAGAATTACCATACTTTGCACTTTTGGGAATATACCCAAAAGAACTGGAAGCAGAGACTTAAATAGGTATTTATATATTCATATTACAGCAGCATTATTCACAATAGCCAAAAGGCAGAAATAGCCCAAGTGTCTATCAAGGCATGGATAGAACAAAATGTGGCATACCCCTATAATAGAATATTATCCGGTCTTAAAAAGGGAAGAAGTTCTGACACATGCTACTACATGGCCGAACCTTAAGGACACTTACGCTGAGTGAAGTAATTCAGTCACGGAAGGACAAAAACTGCATGATGCCATTTATATCAGGTACCCAGAGTAGTCACATTCATAGAGACAGAAAGTAGAACGATGGTGGCCAGGGGCTGAGAGGAAGAGGATGGGGAGGAAGTGTTTAATGGGGACAGATTGCCTGCTTAGCAAGATGAAACGAGTTCTGAGGATGGATGGTGGTTATGGTAGCACAACAATGTGAATGTACTTATGCCACTTAGAGCTGTACACTTAAAAATGATTAAGATGGTAAATTTTATATTATGTATACTTTAGCACAGTTTTTTGGGGGTTTTTTTAAAATTTATTTATTTATTTTTGGCTGCGTTTGGGTCTTCATTGCTGCGCGTGGGCTTTCTCTACTTGCAGCGAGCGGGGGCTACTCTTCGTTGCGGTGTGCAGGCTTCTCATTGCGGTGGCTTCTCTTGTTGTGGAGCAGGGGCTCTAGGCGCACAGTCTCAGTAGTTGTGGCACGCGGGCTCAGTAGTTGTGGCTCGCGGGCTCTAGAGCACAGGCTCAGTAGTTGTGGCACACAGGCTTAGTTGCTCTGCGGCATGTGGGATCTTCCCAGACAAGGGCTCGAACCCGTGTCCCCTGCATTGGCGGGCGGATTCTTAACCACTGCGCCACCAGGGAAGTCTCAGCACAGTTTTTTAAATAAATATCTTTTAAAATGTGATGCTCACTCATGGCTACTGCATTTTTGGAATGGACTCCCAAAAGTTAAATTACATAAACAAAGGATCTTTACATATTGCCAAATTATTTTCCAAAAGGATCAGAATAATTTATAGATTTGTTGGCAAGGTTACAACATGCCTTTACCAGTATTAATTATAATTTTTTAAATTATTGCTGATTTGCTAGGTGAAGAAATACTTTTTTCATATAATTATTGAGCGGTTATAGTTCTTTTGTAAACTGAATCATTTGAACACTGAGGTCTCAGTGTTTTTCTAATTAATCGCAGTATATTATTAACCTCTTGTAGTTATAGCATTTATACTTCCTTTTGATTTTTGGAGGGAACATACAGAAATTTGTAAATTTTTTAATGTGAGGAATATCCCCTCAAGGTTTGTCCAGTGTTTTTTAATCATCCTTTTCTGGCTTGAGAATTGATATACTCACTTCCCTTTTCTTCCCAAAGCTGTGGGGATTTGTGGGGGGTATGATTTGACTTTTTAAAAATTTAACTGTGTTTGTTTTTTTATTTAACCCGTCTCAGATTTTATTTTGGTAAGACTTAAATTGACTTCTGCCCACATATAGCCAACCAGTTGTCTGAATAATCTTCCCCTTTCCGTGGATTTGAGCTTCCTTCCTTATCCAAATATTACATTTGTACAGCTACACTCACTGTTTTGGGAGCTGTTGCTGTCTGTTCCAAGACCTGTCTCTTAGGCCCACATCACACTGTCCTTCGTTCATAAGCTTTATAGTTGGTAGGACCAGCCTTTCTCATGAGAAGTGTTCTCATTCTTCATGCTTTTAATTTTTCCAAGTGAACTTGAGAATTATTTTGTCAGATACCCAGAAAAATAAGGAGACTCCTCTGAATTTTGAATGGAATTGCTTTAAAACTATAAATCAATTTGGGGAAGTGTTAACATCAGCTTATTTATAGTACGTATGCTTCCAGTCCCGAAACACACCTTATCTTTATTTGTGCAAGTCTTTTTTTTTTTCCTCCATATTATTTATCTGCTTGTTTGCTTATTTATATTTTAGAGTATGTTTCATGAGTGATTTCCAGATCACAGACTTTGAGTCCTTTAAAGAACTACTTTATATGCATAAGGCTTCAAAACAGCATGGGGGAAAATCACTAATAAAGTTGAGATCCTTTGATCTGAGATCATTAGGGAAAATACATCAACAAGTGTCTTCACTTTTTCTTTGACTTTAACCTGTATATTTTATACAAAGAGTCTAGGAGTCTTTCCGTGTTACTTCTGCATTCCACTCAACAGCACAATCTTAGGACAGGCACATTTCCCCATCTCATCTCATATGAAGTATTAAACTGTTTGAGAACAGGTCCCTCTCTTTTTAAAGTAAGATCTACAGTAAGCATCTGCTTCCTGACCCCTCACAGAGCCCCCTGCAAGCCTCGATCCTTAATGCTGAGTTCATCTGGCACCATTTCCTGCGTGAGGAGGTGATAGTTCTGGGAGAGCCATCCTTGCGCATCTGATGCACCCAGAGGGTCAGCAGCCAGAATCTCAATTCACAATACCTGACTGGGAACACAGGCTGTGCAGACAGCAGAGGAGCCAGGCAGGTGGGAGGCCCATCACATGACACCCGCTCCCCATTGCTTGTTGTCATTTAATTCATGGCCAGCTTTGGAACCCAGCAGCTTCCTTCAGCTCTGCGGACGGGGGCAGGGGTAGGATTTGGTTTGCTTTCATTTATTTTCTTAATGGCTATTGATACACATAGTAAAACCTACCTTCTTACTAATGTAGGGGAACTTAATAAGCACCCCCAAACGATTGTAACACTTCATTTGCTCATTGAAATGTGTGGAGTGCCAGCCCACAGATGTACTGCTAACCCCGGTCCATTTCAGGTGTTTCTTACTGTTGTGTATTATGTTTAGAAACCAAAGGGCTTTTTGGTTCTTGTTCACAACCTGGGAAAGGGGGGGGTGGGGGGGGGCGAGGGGCGTTGTGTGAGAATTTATAGAAAGAGAAGACATGGTTTGGACAAACTTAGTTGTGTGTGTGTGTGTGTGTGTGTGTGTGTGTGTGTGTGTGAAGGAGTGAGTAATTTTTTTCAGTTCTGCCTGGCAAAGAGGTTTTTCTCATAGCTTATTCATTTTCATTTGGAGCTAGTAATAGCACTTCTTTTTGTAGGGAATCATCTCTCCAGCACACACGTACACCCCCTCCCCAGGCCAGGATACTCCAATTCAGAAATGATGTCCTTCTTCTTCAGCTTTTCACATTAACCTTTTTTGAAGATAGGAAATTAAGATCTGAATAATAGCTTTTAATACTAGACCCATTTTAAAAAAAAGTGAAATATCTTTTTTTAATTAAAAAATTTAATTTAAACAAAACGTAAAAAATTAAATAAAAGTGGTATGTTGACATCTTTAAGGTACAAAAATAAACACTTGCATTCTATTTTATGACTTTAACTTTCACAGCAGGGGGTATAAATAACTTTAACTTACAGCACTTTCTACCTATTAAATTTAAAGAAGCTTTCATTTTTCATATAATTTTTTAACTGAATTTTTCCAATAAAAAAATTAGATCCCGAAAAAGGTGTTTGAAGATTATTAATTCGTAACTTGGTAGTAGGAAAGGTTGAACAAGAGTCCAAACTGATGAATTGGGATTGTGTAATATTTGGATAGCCAATTTGCTTTAAAAAAAAACAAAACTAGGTTGCCAAAATACTAAATATGATACAGATATTTAAAGTAATTAGAATAGAAAATAGGAGGTGGCCAGGTGGGTATAAGGTACCAGTGAATTTGGGGTACCAGTTAGAGAAATGCTAAAATTTAAAGTTCATGTAGACACACATGCACACTTTTTTTTTTTGTGTGTGGTAGCTCTCTCAGAATCATGTGTTTATAGTCTGGCCAGGGTTGTGGCCTCAGTCCTGCCCCTTAAGAAATGGGATCTTTGCCTAAAAGTTATTGAGAAATGAAGACTGCAGAAAGCCAAAAAATGTCCAGGCTTTTCATGCACACTGACAGCCAAACAGAATGCTCTTTCCATTTGCAGTTTTTTTAGTGTCATTTTAAGTTGCAGCTTCCGGCCAATCAGCGAGCCCCGTGCCTGCTGACATCACGAACCAGCCAGTTCCCTCCAGCTGCAGAGAGCTTCAGTTTGTCTTTTTTTTTTAAACTAAAATGGAGGCTGGTTTCTTGCCTTAAGGAGTACATTGCCTTTCCCGCTGAAGTCTAGATGTTGACATGTAATAAAGCGGGCAGCAGGATGGTGGTGGATGCGGCCAACTCCAATGGGCCTTTCCAGCCCGTGGCCCTTCTCCATATTCGAGGTAAGTTATTGTGTGTTTCACTGAAACGGAACCTTCTGTGGTTAGTTAATAAATGGCTATTGTGCTTCAGATAAGAAAAGCAGGAAGTCCTTTCTAGCAGAATTCACCCCGTTTTGCGGCAGACCTAACCAGAGGAGGCTGGGTGTGTCACTGCAATTTGGCATTTTACGAACTACTTACAGAATTTGAGTCTTGAGAGAGGCCTTGCATGCATAGTTCAAAGCTGGTTTTTCTGCTTTCTGCTCGCTCTCCCATCCCCCTTTCAGAGCCGTGCTGATGTCAAAGGATGTGAAGTCACTGCCCGGGGAAGGCATTGGGCGGGGGGTAGGAAGGAGAGGCGGGCGGCACGCCTGGCCAAGTTGTCCGTGCGCAGAGTTTCTGTTACATCTGTGTTGCTCAACACCCTGAAGGTTTCACCGGGACACACGTCTGAATTAACGATGAATTGCAGTCAGAAAATATGCAGAAATGATTAGAAAAGAACTTCTTTAAAAGGATTGTTTTCGTTCTTGCCCTGGAGCCTAAAAGAGAAATAGACTCGTGCTTTGAAATATTGGAATCCGTCGTGGGTCATAATTTCTGAGCTGTTAGCGTTTTTATTGAATAGTAGGAGATACTTTGCACTTAAATAGGCTTTGTATTGACATTTGCCTTTAAAATTTTAAATGGCAACAAGTTTTCGATGAGTGTATAGATCACCTTTAATAATTACAGTTTGCCACTTGTAGTTTATACGGAATTGGAGTTCAGAATTTAGCTTATAACACAATTAGCATAGTAATTAATAATTATATTCAAATATAGGTATCAGGATAATCATATACTTTTTCTTAGCATTTAAAAGTATTTGCTATACAAATTTTTTGTTCATAATTGGGTGAAGTAGAAAATGGATGTTAAGCTTCATCATATCACTTTAAAATTTATACAATATCACAGCTCTGTCCCTAACAGAACAGTTCTGTCAGAATCTCCTTTAAGGACCCATGTCAAGGAAGGGTGGGGGCAGGATCTCTAGGTGACTAATGGTCTGTATGACTAAAATACCAGACAAGATTTTTCAGATCCTAGGGTGTTTGCAGATAAAGGAAATAAAACCACATGAATACCCAGTCTGTTGGAATAAAATGGGTGTTGCTTTTCTCTCCAAACCCTCTTGAAAGAAGCTGGTGGAAATTAATGTCCACAATGACCAACCTGTAGGTCACATTGTTTTGTAGTGCACCCAGGAAAGAGCAAATGTTGACCACAGATGGCACTCAGGTATTTTAGTTGCAGGAGCCAAATGGGCAAAAACAAAATGTAATTGTGTTTCGATATAAGTTCTTAAATGGTGACTGACTAGCAAAAAGAAAATTTTATAGCATATAAAATGTGTATTTTGATACTTTTAAGGTATCTTATTATAAATAACAAGATTGTTTTAGTTTGAGTTTTCTGATTTCATTAAACACTTAATGTACTAGTCATTTTTTGAACTATGACTTTATTCTGAAATGGAATTGTTTGATTTTATATCTTATACCACATTGTTGTTGTTGTTTTTAATTCCAAGACTTTACTGTGACCAGTTTGAATTTTTTTGCTGTTGGTTGAGTGGTTGGTTGCTAATTGTGAAGGGAAAAAGTAGTGAAGCATATTAACCTAAAAGAGACTTGAGATTTTAAGAAGGGGTAACCTTTAGGGCCTAAAACTAACTTCTGGGTCAAACAGTGAACTAGCTAAAACTTGAACGCTTGGTTTACTCATCAGGACTTTTTAGAGCAAGCATGTTAATGTGTGGTTTAGCAAAATTTATTTTGTTTATATTGGCTTTTAGAGTCTTGATCAATTTAATATCCACTATGCATCTCCTCTGTATGTCCAGTGCTGAGGGTCCCCACCCCAGAGGAATGGATGGTTTAGTGGGAGACCCACACAGGGGCCCTGGTGCAGGAGGGGCCCTGGTGCAGGAGGGGCACAGAGCTGACTCTGGGCAGGTGCTAGGACAGAGAGCAGGGGCTGATGTAATCATGATGCTGGTAAGGGGAGGGGGCAACGCTGAGGCTTACCACTGACCCAGGGTGCATTTAGAGAAGAAGGGTCTTCCACACAGAGGTAAAATGACCAGCCCAAGGTCACCCAGCCTGTAAGTGGTAGGGCCAGAGTCCAAACCAAGGCAGTTACACAAACCAAGGCAGTTGTTTTGTTTTGTTTGGAATCTTTTAAACAAAAAAGGTTTTTTTGGTTTTATTTTAAAAATAGAAATTTTGGCTGTTTGTAGAACCTTTTGCCACAGGATTACAATAGCGGGTTTTCCCCAGTGTCTTATCAACATCCATGCGTTTCAGTGGCCTCTGGTATATGACAGTTTTTGTGCCTAGGGTCCATTTCTTCATTCATTTTACAAATATTTGTCAAGTCGCTACCACCACGTGCCAACCAGGAACCTAATTCGGAATATGAAGCAAGCCCTGTGGCCCAGCTCTCAGAGTTTACAGTCCCCTGGGTGGTGGGGCAGTCACGTGAACAAATCAGTCAATACGACCACTAAACTGATGAGTAGTCCCAGTCGGTTTGATATTTGTCTCCTATTACATAGTCTAGAGTTTGCAGTTAATATAGTGAATTAGCATATCCTAAAAAGTCCAAGTGTGACAGGAACATGTTGCTGAAAAGTCTAAACTTTTCTGTCTGTAGAAGGAGAAGGCGTCACCTGGAGGAACTTGATGGCTGTAAATTTAGCTTGATGACTTAAATCCTGTACTTCCAGGGCTGTCCGAGAGAACTGTCTGCGATGGTGGGAATGTCCTCTGTGCTGTCCACTACAGTGGCCCCTGGTCACATGTGACTGTTGAGCCCTTAAAACGTGGCTACTGCAACTGAGAAACTGAATTTTTAATTTTACTTCATTTTAGTTATTTTAAATTTAAATAGACATGTGTCTAGTGGCTGCTGTATTGGACAGCACAGGTCTAGACTGGGATCGAGAGACTTTTTCAGAAAAGACTGGAAAGTAAATATTTCTGGCTGAGAAAGCAGCCATAGATAGGCATGACAGTGTTCCAGTAAAGCTTTATTTACAAAAGCAGGTGGCTGGCCAGATTTGGCCCGTGGGACATAGTTTGCCCACCCCTGTTCTAGACTATTCCTTGGATTTTAATTGCCTGTTAAGTATAGTAAAATATATTTCACTTCCAGAGCCAGGTTTAAGGCAAGAATAGCCAAGCCAAAAAAGATGTTAATGGCCAGAGAGGAAGAGAGCGACCTCCATCCTGTGCCAGCTGGCTTTTACTCTGGCCTCAAGCAAGTTGTTAACTGCTCCGATCTTGTAGTCGGTTGGTGAGTCCTGTCTCTGAAAGACTGAGGAGTAACCTCGGCCTGGTGGGGAGCTGGAGAGCAAACTATTCTCTGTGTAAACCCATTTTTCCTGGGGAATGGAAGTCTGATGATAGAAGAGTTTGTTTTCTCACAAGTATTCCTGAGTCACCAATTCAATGAAAGTCTTTACCTTTCCAAAAAAATTTAGAAAAGAACGAGCAGGGGGCAGTGTAGGGTGTCAAACCCGAAGGCTTCCTTTCCCGCTGCAGCCCATCTGATGACTTAGCCAGCGCTGCTAAGCACACCTGTGCACATGCACGTGCACGTGCACGCGGGTTCCCAGGTGTGGGACACTCCTGCGTGATTAAAGTCAGTGAATGTTGTGAGGATGGATGCCTAGCACTGTCCTCATTCCCAGAACTAGGAAGGAAAAATGTCATTGACGACCAAAAACAAAGACCCCTCAAGAGCTCAAACCAGTGATGCTTTCTCTCCGAATAGTGTATCAGTCCAACTCAAGGTGTTTGCTGCACTAACATCTGTGTGTTGTGTAGCTGTCACTGTCTATGAGGCGGCTTTTTAGAAGTACACCTTTAAAGCTCCCTGGAATGAGCCTGTGTGAAGTTGTTTTCTCTTGTCATTCCTGCCAGTGAGGAAGGAAACCAGAGTAACAAATAACTCTCTGGGGGGTGCATGTCTGTGTTAAAGCCTGCACAACTTTTGTTAATTAGTCTTCCGGGAACTGATCATGACTCCTGCCTTGCAGCAAAAGCTAAACTCCTAGAATTTTTTCATTAAAAGATGTTAATTGTGTGGAAGAATGAGACAAAAGTAAAGAAGCAAGGTTAGTAGTCAAGAAAAGGGTGTGTGTTTTTGAATCTAGGGAAGGACCGTGTCTTCGAAGGCACAGAGGTTTGGGGTACACCCTGCTCCATTTCCACACATCAGGTAGCACTGCAGGGTGGTTCTCCTCCTATCCGACGGCGGCCTGCCAGATGTGATGCGCTTTTGTGAACACTGCCCGACTTGTTCCTCCCAGCATTCTTGCCCGGGAGGTCGGCCGGACGCATCCTAGTCACTCCTCCCCAAGGTTACCAGGCTGTAAGGCCAAGTCCAGGGCCCCTGCCCCTGTGTCAGCTACATGTCCCCAAGCCGCTGCTGGTGGCCGTCCCAGAAGGAAAGGCAGCCACATATGTCATCTTCTGGTATTATCTTTTTGACCTTTTTTGGAGACCCAGCTAAAGCTGGCCTGCAGTCTTTGGGGAGGCTCTGGATTTCCAGGTGATAAGATGAGACAAAGCACCCTTCTGTCAGCCCGGCTCCTGGCCATGCAGAGCATCCCAGACCAGAGGCCGGAGCAAGGGGCTGGTGCAGGCAAGACCTCTGTCACCCACATCTGCTTCCAGACAAGGCCCACCTCACCTCCTCTTCCCTGTCAGATGGGAAAAGTACCACCAAGGATGCGGAGAACTCCAAAACTGGGGTAGTTTCTCTCACTAAGGTACTCAAGGAAAAATCTTTCTTATTAATCTTGGAAAGACGTGGCTAAAGTGCACAAGGACAAACTACTACAGCAAGAAAAGTCTGGTTTTGTTTCAGGCCCTTGAATTATTCATACATCAAAAACCCCTCTAGTTAAAAAGAAAAGCTAAAGAGATGTAACAGTCAAATATAGTGAGTGAATCTGTATCAGATCTTTGTTCTAAAAACAAAACAGTAAAATCAAGCCTGCAGAAGACATTGGCCGAGTGCAGAGCGATGTGGGACGCTATGGAATTACCGTTAGCTTTAAAGGGATTGTGATCTGTAGGCACTGTCCTCATTCTTAGGAATTGCAGACGGAGGTATTCAGGGGTGAAGTATCATGATCTCCGCAACTTATTTCAAATAACAAGGAGAAAAATAAATGTAAAGCAAATATGCTAATATGTGAACAATTGGTGAATCTGGGGAAGTGGTTATACAGGTGTACACGTTGAATACAAGTATTCAGCTTCTGTGTAGGTTTAAACTTTTCCATAGTGTTTGGGAGAAATGTCTTT